ACCTATTGCGTCACCAGGGACTCAGTTTCCTTATGACAAACTCATAAGGGTGCCTCATAACAAACACAAATTTGTTTTATACCTCTGCTGACACAATTTCTCATGATCTTCTACTCTTTTTTCTTTCTTAGGTTTAGCAAATGTTGACATTTACCCAACCCATTCCATAGGACGTGCATAGCAATTATATAATGTGACCCACAGGAAACTTCTGTTCATATTTATCAAATGCAAGCTGCACAAACTACCTGTCTCTCACAAATCTTGAAATTTTCCCTTCCAATATGTTTGGGGTGGGGAGAGAAAATTAAGAAATATTTTGTAATAAAGGAATATTAGCAATGCCCGCAGTCACACAGACTCTTACCATCCGTTGCGTAAAACTTGAAATATCCTGTGTGCTGTTACCGGAGTACATGCTGATGAGCCTTCCATTTTGGGGAGGATTTGTAACAATGAAAAATATTGTTCTGTTTTCTGTCTCAGCCACATCATTGGTGACAGCTTTCAGGTTGTGAGATGTAATTGCCTTCCTGGAACCTAAGCCATCATGACGACAAAGCAGTTTCATGAATGGTTGTCACTAAAAGCTGGCATTTTTTTTCCTTCTACTTCCCTCTCAACCCTGTCCTTGACCACACAATTGCTTAATTATCTCCTTTGAATTGGATTATATGGCAGTGTAGACTCATAGAATCAAGTTGGATTATCTACTTTGATAATCTTGGTTTAAATCATGCTGTCAATAGACAAAAATATGTAGTCTTATTATTTATTATTTATTTACGACATTTATATGCCGCCCTTCTCACCCCGAAGGGGACTCAGAGAGGCTTACAAGGTATATATAACATACAATATATTATATTATTAGCATAGTACAATATCAGCATTAAACATTGCTATATTGTACTATATTTAAAGGAACAAAACAAATTGGAGCTATTTCAGTAAGTAACTTGTTAATTAACCAGCGATCATAAAGCAACGGGTGGTACAGTGGAATCTAACCCACAATCCATAATTATCCATTTCATCAATAATAAAATAAATGGTTAAGAAGGAAAAGTTATTTGCTGGTATGTCATATGCTCAACAGATGGCAATTGTGCAATGGGTCAAAGAGTCCAAAGAGGAAACTCATCCAAATTTATAGAAAAGACATTGAAAATAAAGTAAATCAAATGAAAATATTTTTAAAAACTAGGTCAATGTTTGGAATAAAGAAAAATGACATGGCAACTTATGTTACATCTTGAAATTGCTTAGCAGCAGTATCTAATCTTGGTGATTTAAATGCATTTTCTTTTGGATGCTTGTAAAACTGCTGACATTTGTTAACCAGCTTTGTTCTCTCAGTTTAGCCTAACCATCTAAACTTTGTTTGGAAAAGTTACATGTTTGGACTACAAGTCCCAGGAACTCCCAAGTCCCAGGAACTCCCACAGCCAATACAAATCCTAATTATGCTGGCTATGAGATCCTGAAAGTTGTAATCAATAAGTATCGTAACTTTGCAAAGCTCTGCACCATTGTCAAGGATTGTGGAGTGGGGATATGTATGTGCCAATCTGTTCATTATTTAAGAGAGCATGAATGTTATAATGGGAAAAAACCTACTTCATAGGTACCCAGTGTTCTGGATTCACTATTATAGTTACTAGGTTTTGGTTTTTCAAAATGCTATTTCCATGGTTAATAGAATTGAGAGTCAGGAAACCATGAGCCATGGAAACGAAGAAGCTAAGTATAGTGCTATATTTCACTTTAAATGCCATGGCAACATCCTATAGAATCCTGAAATTTGCAGTTTAGGGAGGAGCATTTAGATTTAACTTTAGTGCTTACCAAACTACAAAGTTCAGGAGCCCACAGGATGGAGCCATGGCAACTTAATTGGAACAATGGTGTTAGGATTGTGATATATCACAGAATTTGGAAACTGTTGACCCCCAAGAACCCAGTATTATGTTGACTGGTATCCCTGAATCACACTGTGGTCACAATCTCAGAATCTAAGGAAAACAATTATGGGAGGGAGCACCTGGATTGCCATCTTATTCAGTTACAATTGTATGCTTGTGTGTGAATGTCTTCAAGTTGCCCGTCAACCTATGCTGACCCTATGAATCCCGTAGGGTTTTGTTAGGCAAGGAATACTCAGGTATGGTTTGCCACTTCCTTCCCTGAAATATTTATTTATTTATTTATTTACAGTATTTATATTCCACCCTTCTCACCCCAAAGGAGACTCAGGGTGGATCCCAATGCACACATACACAGCAAAAATTCAATGTTGGTTTTTTAGACTTACAGATAGAAAAACAGATAGAGGTATCTGGGGGATTTCCATTTCGGTGCCTGGAGGTTATGCTCGATTTCAGCCATGGTGGGAGGGGGGATGCTGGGGTGCTGTTGCTTCATCCACTATGACATCGAGTCATTTTGATCGTATTTCCTCCTTGCTCTTTGACCTCTAGCATTTTTATGGTGCCAACCACTTATACCTCCCTGCTAAAAGCGGTCCCTAATTTCTCTACTCACAGCTCAGCTGCTTTCGAACTGCTTAGATGGACAGTAAGCTAGCTTAATAGTCCTGTGCTCAATCTGACTCAGGCTTTGAACTTGTCACCTTCTGGTCAGGAGTGATCTATTGCAGCTGGTGATTAACCAGCTGTACTACAGCCCAGCCTACAGAGTCTGGCATTTGTTGACGGCCTCCCAACCAAGTACCAACCAGGGCTGAATTGAGAGAACCTTTAGTAAACTTTTAAAGGCAAAGATATGGAAAGAAGGAGAAAACATGACCCACTACATTTCTTATGCTATTAAAACCACAAGACCTTGAGGTAACCCAAAGGAGACTTTATGTCAAAAACTGGTCCTCACACTTTAATCGGGAGAAACTAAATTCCAGCCAGGAGCCGAATACCACAAGTTCCAAAGGAGCTTTCTATAATGGTATTTGTTTGCATATCTTACTTGCAGAAAAAAGCGTTTGCTATGCAATGACCCTTCCTCATTTACAGACCTAAAGAGGGTCCAGACATCTTCTATTTATAATCCTCATGCCCTATTATTTCTTCTCACTTTTTTCTTACTACAAAAAAAAAACCTGTTCAGGAAGCAAAAATACAGAGAGACAGGACCCTTGAAGGGAAGCACTATGAGCATTTGGAAGCACCCTATAACTGGACCAGCAGTAGCATTAGACAGAGTGAGGAAGCCACTTGATACAGTGTATTTGGGGTGCCAGGAAAGAGCAACATACAGCAACTAATGCTGCAGTTTTACTATCAAGATTAGGGAGCAAGTGCTTTTCTGCCTCATATTCCATTGCAACTGGGCTGGCAAGGGAAAACATCACTATGTGTTACTTACAAGATCAAGATTGGTGGCTTGGGAATGTATTTACAACACACGTGACAATAAACACATTTAAACTAAAACACTATGACGCACTGGTTTCAATTTTTTGAGTGAAACTTTTGTTTCTTTATACCCAAAAGGAAAAGAAAGACCATAAGAAAGCTCAAAGAATCCAGAGTAACCAGTAGGTGAATCCAATCAGTTAAAGCCAGGCAAGACATTTTCTAACTCAGAGGGAGAGAAAAAAAATCTTAGCTTTTACTGCAAGCCAAGCACAGAATAGTTAAAAGGGCTGGGAAAAATATTACTCCTTTAATGTGGGCGGAATGGCAGAAAACAGAGCTACTCCCCCTTTAAAAATGCATCAGGGACAGTTTGCTTATAATTATCTTTGGCTTACTATAGAAATTCCTATAAAAGCTCATGCCTGAAGCTATCTTGCACTCCAAAAGCAGCTGCAGGGATAGTGGTTTGGACCGAAAATCCCTGCCAATGCATTGTATTAAGATCATGTTTCTTCAGACTGCAAATCGGTTGACTTCTTGCCTTTTTTTTGTTAAATCATCTTATTATGGGCAGTGCTTCTATGGACCGAACTAAAATTTGTTTGTAAACATTATGCACCTTTTCAGGTGCTTGCTTTTCACATTTTCTCCTGCTTTCCTATTCTTAAAAGATCCATGCCATCAAAAAATAGCTGGCAGAAGAATCCACTCTGAATACTGCTCACGGGAAATACATCTTCCACCACACAGTATGGTAACTGACATATTTAGGAGGCACAAAGAAGCTATGTATTGCACAATACTACATTGCTGCCTCCACCCAGGATTTGCTACCATCTCAGAGTAGTGCTGGCCCTGAAAAGTGAAAAAGAAAAACCTGAATCAAGATGATTTTTTTTATTCTGCTGGCTGAAGGATTCTGAAAGCTATATCCAAAAACAAATTATCTAAAGCGCTGAATATTGATCAGACATTCTACTTCATCGCTTAGTATATTTGAAATACATTTATAATATTTTAAAATGAAATCTCTCAGAAATCTTACCTGGGAAAACTGCCAGTCCGTTGTTCTTTTCTAGTCGAATAACCAAAGTTCGAGCTGTGATGCTAAATATTTGCCGAGGTGAAAAGTTCAGACCATCTGTAACCTGAAAATTGAAGCCTCCAGACATAGCACCTACAAAAAG